TAAGGGCACAGCTGCCCTAGTTACCAATGATCAACCCTTTGTTTTTCAGACTAACCACACTTCAGCACAACGCGTGGAGCTCGAAGCAGTACATTAAGCGTTATGCAAACTTTCCACTTAATCTTTTAACCTTTACTCAGACTCTCGTTATATTGTAAATATTATGATTCACTTAGAAACTGCTAATTTACATGACACTAACACATCCGAAGTGATTATTCTCTTACTACAGGTTCAAGCTTTGCTCAGGAAACATTCTCACCCTTGTTTCTTTGGCCATATACGAGCTCATACAGATTTACCTGGATCTCTCTCTCTCTCTCTCTCTGCGGGAAATATTTATGCTGATCAACTTACTAAAACTGCCTATCTAACATTATCTCCTTTGGATGCAGCCAAAGCCTCACATTCTCTCCATCATCAAAATGCCACTGGCATATGTCAGCAGTTTCGAATCACAAAGGAACAGGCTTGGCAAATTGTTAAACTCTGTCCTCAATGCCCTCTAACCACATTCATTCCTCCCACAGAAGGAGTCAATCCGCGAGGCTACAAACCAGGCCAACTATGGCAGATGGACGTAACCCATATTCCATCTTTCGGAAAACAAGCTTATGTCCATGTTTCTATTGACACTTTTTCTGGTTTTATTTTTGCATCCCCTCGTACAGGAGAAGCAGCTAAACATGTTATTGCTCACTGTTTACAAGCTTTTACTTTCCTAGGCATTCCCCATACCATTAAAACTGACAATGGTCCAGCCTACACAAGTACGGCATTCCAGAAGTTTTGTGCTACTTTTCAAATCCAGCATAAAACAGGCATCCCACACAATCCTCAAGGGCAGGGAATAGTTAAGCGAGCTCATCAGACTTTAAAAGGGCAAATTGAAAAAATAATGAAGGGGGAGTATGTAGATACCCCTGCTAACTTACTTAACAGAGCTCTTTATTCCCTTAATTTTTTAAATGGTGATGCTCAGGGTAAAACCGCTGCAGAGCGACAGTGGTCCTCACTGCCCAGATCCCACCCTTGGGTACAGTGGAAAGACTTACTTACAGGACAATGGCATGGCCCCGACCCTGTTCTGATATGGGCTCGGGGGTCTGTTTGTGTATTTCCTGAAGGGGACTCTGAGCCCCGTCGGATCCCCAGCCGCTATGTCCGGCCCCTTCAAGGTCAAGATGGAGGACGAAGTGGAACAAGAACTCACTCCACCATTCAAGAGGCTACGAATTGGCCCACTAGCGCCCGTGCTGCCACCGCCGCCACGGAGATCATGGACGACTCGGAGAACATCTCCACCAACTTCGGGACAGTTGAAGAAGCTGACAACGGAGGCCAAGGCCATGGTCGTTCGCCAAGGAGCACAGCGAACTGCTGAGACTTTGTGTCTAGCCATGCTGACAATTTTGGCTATTCAGGTCTGTGATGTTCAGATTCCATGCTCAGCATACATTCCAGATCTGCCCTTTCTCATGGCCATTACTTGGGATGACCCCAGCGTTCCTGTTTTTGTTAATGATACAGATATCATGGGCCACCCAAGTGCAGATTATCTTACTCCTCAATGGGTGGGAGATTATAGATATGAGGGAAGGTCAACCAGGGTCCCCATATGTTTTACAGCCATTTACCGTTTGGCTGCTGACGTATTTTTTCGGACATATGCCAAAACTGCAGCACTAATTGCGCGTGTATGGGAAAAAATGTAAAACACTTTTTATACAATAAACTCACTTGTATTGCTTTGCAACAACAAAAATTAAAAAATACCAATTGTTTACATAAATTTGTTTTAATTAATTTTGTGAATAAAATTGGCATTGTTTTCACCGTTATTTAACAGAAAAAAAAAGTAGATTTGAAATATGTAATATTATTAGAACAATTAAAAATCGTATGATCCGAAAA